CAAGCTTCAGCAATGGAGGCTGGAGATTAGGAAGAAGTTTTTGACTATGAGGGTAGGCAAGCATTGGGACATGATTCCTAGAGCATTGGGACAGGATTCCTAGAGAAGTAGTGTAATCTCCATCCCTGGAAAATTTCTAGAGAAGATTAGACAAACACTAGGCTGGGCTGCTTTAATCAGGATTGGCCCTGCCTTGAGCAGCAGGGTTGGACTTGATACCTAGATGACTTAGAAGCGCTGCAGAAAAGGAGCTGGGGTTACACTAGACGATAAACTGAATATGAGCCAGCAGTGTGCCCTTGTTGCCAAGAAGGCCAATGGCATCCTGGGCTGCATTGGTAGGAGCATTGCCAGCAAATGGAGGGAAGTGATTCTTCCCCTCTTACAACACCAGTGTGGCCACATCTGGAGTCCTGTGTCCAGTTTTTGGTCCCCCACTACAGAAAGGATGTGGACACATTGGAGAGAGTCCAGCAGAGGGCAACAAAAATGGTTCAGGGGCTGGGGCACATGACTGATGAGGAGAGGCTTAGGGAACTGAACTTATTTAATATGGAGAAGAGAAGACCGAGGCGGGATTTAATAGGAGCCTTTAAGTACCTGAAGGATGGTTCTGAAGAGGACGGAGCTGGACTGTTCTCAGTGGTGGCAAATGACAGAACAAGGAGCAATGGGCTAAAGCTGCAGCAAGGGAAGTTGAGATTAGATATTAGAGAAAACATTCTCATTATGAAGGTAGTAAAACACTGGAACAGGTCACCCAGAGAGGTGGTGGAATCTCCATCCATAGGAGTTTTTAAGACCTGACTAGACAAAGCCTTGGCTTGGATGATCTAGTTGGGGCTGGTCCTGCTTTGAACAGGGGGTTAAACTAGATTGCCACCTGAAGTCCTTTCCAACACTCATTTTCTATGATTCTATGACCTTATGAAACCCATGCCAGCCCTACTTTCCTATACTCCTATGAACTAGCATAGAATCAACCACTTGAGTGATGGCTATAACTGCAAATCCCACTTCTACTGGAGGAGCTCTTTGTATCTGGGTCAAGGATGAGTTTCTGTGAACACCTCCAGTGCTCTCATATAGTCATCCAACTCAAGTCTGGCTTGAGACATCTATACAATCATACCCTGGGACTTCCTAGTCACAGCGTACTTCCTGCACCAAGTCCTTCCCCCTTCCTGTATTGACTTCTGACATGCACCAGTGGGGAGAGGGGGGACTGAGGCCCAGAGGTGACTCTCAGTGGATGCATCTAAACATTCATTAATACACCATAGCTACTGTGCACTTGGTTTGGTATTTGTTTAATGAAGTACTAACTAAATGTGTGCATCAGTGCACAGTTATTTTGTGATGCTAACTGCACATTTGCCTAACAATACTGTGCAGTAGGCTTTTAGCACAGTTTTTAACTGTGGCAGTATTATTACGCCAATGCACAGTAAGCATCTTGTGTAGACATGCCCAGTGAAACCTTTGCCAGCTCCAAGATAAAGCAGGCATGTGGAAGACCTACATGGCCCCTCAGGCTATCGAATTCAGCTTGGAGCTTTCTGAAATCAGTGGAGCTGAGCTGATTGACTTACCTAAGGGTCTACCTTGTAGACTGCCATTTTTTCTGGTTGCCCATATAAGAGGGGGCATGATAGCAATCTTCAAATATTGGAAGAGCTGCCATCAAGACAAGAGAGAACACCTTTTTATCTCTAGCTGTAGGGAGTAGGACACAGACCACTGGCTTGAAGTTGAGCAAAGTTTGTTTAGATTGGCTATCAGGAAGAACATCTTCCCTGTTAAAACAGTAAGGGAGTGAAACAGATGCTGAGGGAAGCTGTGAACTTCCATCACTGGTTGTTTCCAAGAAGAGGTTGGATAAACATTAGTCAGGGAGTATCTAGGAGGAGCTATACGTATTTGGGCTGTGCAAAATTTCACTGGACGTTTTAACACTGTTTTGTCTCATTTTGATCTCGAAACAGAGAAATCAAAATGAAACAAAGGGCTTCGAAACAGCCTCCAAACAAAACAATGGTCGGGCTGGGGCTGGGAAGTCAACCCGGCTGGACTGAGTTTATTTCCCCAGACCAATGATTGCAATGGGGTTGGGAACTCAGCCCAGCTGGGCTGACTTCCTTTCCCCAACCTGATATAGTGCTGGGGAGGGGAACTGAACAATCAGGCTCAGTTCTCTTCCCCAGTCCCAGGCAGCAGCACCGGCTTCCCTCCCCCATCTGGCAGGCAGATCAAAGGCCCTCAGCCATGGGAGGACTGGCACAGCCCCAGCAGCCCTCCCAGGGTTGGGCCCCGATCTTCCTGCCAGATGAGAGAGGCTGTTTCGAGCCTCCCCATTATAGTGAATGGGCGAAACATTGAAACAGCTTTGAAACAGCTTCACTGTTTCGATGAAGTGAAACAGAACAGCTGTTTTGACTATAAATGAAATTCAAAACAAAATGCTGTTCCGTCAAATCCTCGAAACTTTAGTTGAAATGGAACAGTGCCATTTCGCACAGCCCTATATGCTCTACTGCGAATAGTTCCCATGCATCTGGGCTTTACTGGTTGCCACCTGGGGCCAGGAAGAATATTTTTTCTGCTCCTGTTGGTACACGCAGGGTTTTTTGCCTTCCTCAGAAAAATTGGGTGTTGGCCGCAGCCAAAACTGGGAGTTTTGACTTGTGCCATTGCTCCTGCAGGGACTAAAATCCAGAAGTTTCTGATTAAAGGACCTTGCCCCTCTACTCATGGTCAGACCTATCACCACATTTGTTATAAGGAAGAAATACCCCATGGTACAGAATGTGGGGTGTTTTCCTTCTTCTGTATCAGGGGGCTTGGTCCTCTTTCTTGGATCTCTTGAGTGCGTTTTGAAAAGCCTTGCAACAACAGGGCCTTTGTCCCCACACTTTAGCTGTGAGAGCATGAGGTTCAGGATTAGACAAGGATTTGCTTTGGATTGTTTGTATAGGGATGATTTTGCCTCTGGCAGAGGGTTGGATTCGACAACCGTGTGCCCTTGTTGCCAAGAAGGATTAATAGCATACTGGCCTGCATTAGCACCAGTGTTGCCAGCAGATCAACTTAAGTGATTCTTCCCCTCTATTCAGCCACAACTGGAGTCCTGTGTCCATTCTTGAGGCCCCCACTACAGAAAGGATGTGGACAAATTGGAGAGAGTCTAGCAGAGGACTACAAAAATAGGTATGGACTTATGGACTAAGGGCACATGACTTATAAGGAGAGGCTGAGGGAAATTAAATTCTTTAGTCTGGAGAAGAGAAGATGGAGGAGGAATTTAATAGCAGCCTTCAACTACTGCAGGGTGGTTCCAAAGAGGATGGAGCTGGACTGTTCTCAGTGGTGGCACATGACAGAACAGGAAGTTGCAGCAGAGGAGGTTGAGGTTAGATATTTAAAAGGACTTTCTCACTACAAGGGCAGTAAAACACTGGTACCAGTTGCCCAGAGTCATAGTGGACTCTCCATCCTTGGAGGTTTTGAAGACCTGGCTAAGCAAATCTTTGGCTGGGATGATGTAGTTGGGGCTGGTCCTGCTTTGAGCAGGGGGTTGGACTAGATGACTTCGTCAGGTCCCTTCCAACCCTCATTTTCCATTCCATAATTCTAACCTCCCGAGGTCCCTGCTAGCCCTTCTTTTCTATAATTCTATGAGAAAGCATGGCATGTAATATCCACAAAGCAACTACTTTCAAGACTCCTGGTTCCCATACAGTCTCCCTTCCACTAGCTCCAGGAGCCAAGAACAAAGATAAGCAAAGCAAATCAAGTTCCTTGGAACAGGTGATGCTAGTGATAAGTAGAGCAGACAAAACATTCATGTAAACATCCATGACGTGCTTGCTGGAGTATGGTCACAGGCTGAGCTTGGATGCTGTTGGGCCTTGGTTCAGAGCTAAAACTTCATGCCATTCATGTCCCAAAGAGTCAGGATGCAATTTATTTACACTGGTCTGCTATGACAGACAGACAGACAGACCCAGATCCCCATTACCAATGTCCAAGATCCAGGCCCCACATTGTGTCAGATGCTACATGTATCCCAACAAGATTGGGGTCCTCATTCTTCTGGGCTCTGCACAGAAACCCAATTGAGCTTTGGACCCAGAATATTGCACAGATCCCAAATAATATCAGAGCTTACTTTGCACCAGAGACTGTGGAGAAAAACAATGAGAGTCCATACCTGAAGAATGTAAACAGAGAATGGGGTGATCCCATTTCTCTATTCCAGAAGTGATGAACCCAAGGCCAGAGAGAACTAGGAGTCGGGCAAATAACTTTATCAGGAGGAGGGTCGAAAAGAACTGGAACAGGCTACCCAGAGGTAGTGGAGTCTCCATCCTTGGAGTTTTTGAAGACCCAGTTCAACAAACCCTTGGCTGGGATAAGATAGTTGGGGCTGGTCCTGCTTTAAGCATGGGGTTGGACTGCACTGGGCACAGGGCAAGAACAAAGAGGAGTGGAAGGGCAAAATGGAGCCTAGGAAATGCAATCTGTGGCAGCCCAAGGCGGGTTGAGAACCTCCTGAGATCCCTTCCCACCCTCATTTTCTATTATTCTATGACTCTGATGGTGAAGCACTGGAACAGGTTACCCAGCGAGGTGGTGGAGTCTCCATCCTTGCAGGTTTGGAAGACCTGGCTAAACAAAGCCTTGACTGGGATGAGATAGTTGGAACTGGGACTGCTTTGAGCAGGGGGTTGGACTAGCTGTGACCTCCTGAGGTCCCTTCCAACTCTCATTTTCTATGATCCTATGATTCTATGATAAAGAGATGCCACAGTGCATCTCCGTGGCAGACCTGGGCATCAAATCCCAGTACCGTACCCAGTCCCCTCCAAGCTTGTTCTTACCCCACTTGTGCATGCAGGCAACAAAAACTAAAGGAAACTCTTGATTCTGACCCTGACTTTAGTCATCTCCCTCCCCCACCAAATTTCAGTAAACCAGCCCTGGTTCCTAGATGTACTCACAGCTTCTCGAGTGAAGTCCAACCCAAACTTGTCCAGCAGATGCTTGGGGCTTTGCCCTTCAGTCCCCACCAGGGTGATATAGATGGAGTCTAAGGTCCCTGCAAGCAGCCACTTGCCAGTGGTCACCTGGACTTTGTAGAGGGCCATGGGGTTTCACGCTGTGCTGTTAGGTGTGGAGCAGATGCCCTTGTTTATAGAATGTGACCTTCCTGCTGCCTTTAATACTGGCACCAAGAACGGGCCTCTCCCTGGGCCTGGGAGGGGCAGACTCATCACAGAACCTGTCTTGGCAGTTAGATTAAGATATTTTCCAAAAGTGGCTGTGTGCCAGGGGGTTTACTACCAGTAGGCATGCCATGGATCCTATATGCAGTCTGATAAGGAATGAGGCTATGCTGCCCACATACCATGACAACCTACACACTGCATCACCCCTTCTAGGGGCCATACTTGCCACCCTGGATGTTGCCAGCCTGTACACCAACATCCCAACCCATGAAGGTGTAGCTGAAATATCTTCAAGGGCATGGAATACACTTGGATTTGCAACTCATTGTCAGTGATGATGAAGTGGATGATTTGTGCAACAATTTTGCTTTTAACAATCATGACTTCCTCCAAACCATAGACACAACTACTAGCACAAAGATGACCCCCACAATATGCCAACCTCTTCATAAACCATCTGGGGGAGGAATTGCTAGAAGACTTCAGCATCAAACCTGCACTATACATGCATGACAGAGATGATGATATTTTCATCATCTGGATGGAACCCCTGAACTCACTTATTGACTTCCAGCACAGGTTTAACAAGTACCATCCCTCAAGCAAATTTTCTATGTAATACTGCTACACTAGCATCACCTTCTAAACACCAGAGTCCAGGCCTGGGATCATAGAATCATAGAAAATGAGGGTTAGAAGCAGCCTTAGGAAGTCACACCTAGTCCAACCCCCTGCTCCAAGCAGGACCAGCCCCAACTACATCATCCCAGACAAGGCTTTGTCTAGTCAGGTCTTAAAAACTTCCAAGGATGTAGAGTCCACAACCTCTCTGGGTAACTTGTTCCAGTGTTTTACTACCCTCCTAGTGAGAAAATTCTTCCTAATATCTAACCTAAACTTACCTTGTTGCAATGTGAGCCCGTTGCTCCTTGTTCTGTCATCTTCTCATCTTCTCCACAACTCATTCCTCTTTGGCGTCACCCTGCAGGTAGTTGAAGGCTGCTATTAAGTCTCCTATCAGTCTTCTCTTTTCCAGACTAAATAAGCCCAGTTCCCTCAGCCTTTCCTCATCGGTCATGTCCCCTAGCCCCTTCACCATGCTTGTTGCCCTCCACTAGACTCTCTCCAACTTGTCCACATCCTTTCTGCGGGGGAGGGGGCAAAACTGAACACAGTACACCAGGTGTGGCCTCACCAGTGCTGAATAGAGAGATTGTATCCTACAAACCACCACATGCCAAAAAAATCTATGGACCACCCACCTTATGTTCTAAAGAAGATCATCCGAAGAACACCAAAAATGCTGTAATTTACAGTCAGGCACTCAGATACCATTGCATCTGCTCTGAGAAGACCACGTGTGATGCCCACCTGGCCAGCATAGAATCTTTCTTTATACAACAAAGACACTTCAGTAAAGAACAGACATTTTAAAGAGTGACCCATCCAGACTTCAGTAACCTGTTCCAATGGAAAAAGCCCCCCTCCTGTGACTGCACATCCCTGTCACCTCCCACTCCACACTGAAAGCAATCAGAAGAGTTAAACAACTACAGTCTATACTTGACACAGTTCTGACCTTGAAAGAAATATTCCCAGGCCCTCCACTCCTGGTCTTCAAACAACCTGCCTCTGGCAGGGGGTTGAACTAGACAACAATGTGCCCTTGTTGCCAAGAAGGGCAGTAAAAATACTGTGCAGTAAGCCTATCCAGGAGCACATCTACAAGTGCTCTCTCTTGTGCTCAGATTTGTTCCCAATAGAACCAGCCTGATACAAGGCTAATCCCACCTTGCTCTGCCCTCTGCAGAGCCAGAGGGAGCTCCAGGCTCCCCCTGGGTGATACCCTGGGGTCTGGCAGGGAGCACAGGGCTGGTCTCCATGGGCATGATGCCAGAAGAGCTCTGCCAGCTTCAGTGGCAGCTATCTCCTGGCCCCAAACACATCAGCAGAGGTCCTGATGTGCATGGAGCCAAGAAACAGCTGCTTCTGCAGAGTTCTCCCACTCCATGTGCATGGGGACCAGCCCTGCACCCAGCAGGCACAGCCCGGGGCTGACCAGGAACTGTTGTGTTCTGGGGCAGGCCCCAGCCAGCTCCAGGCTGTGCACCATGCAGACCAGAACTGGCTGGGACCTGCCACAGAAGCGGGACAGATCCCAGCCAGCTCCAGCCTGGGTGGGGGAAGCAGGGAGCTCTCAAGTCCTAGAGCTACTCCGCTCCCAGCTTCTGTGGGAATCCAAGAGCTGAGCTGGGACAGGGTTGCAGGGGTACAGGGAGTTACCCTGCCCTAGTGCTGCTCAGCTCCCAGCTCCTGTGGGGAGCTGGGAGCTGAGTAGTGCCAGGACCAGGGAAGCTCCCCATCACCTTTGCCCCCCTAATGTAGGGGCTGACCAGGAACAAATTAGGACCCAAATAGCATCTACACGTGCGATAGCATAGCATCTGCTGTGAAGTTAGTTTGCTACCTGTCTTTACAGGTAGTAACCAACTGCACAGTAGACTAATTTACTGCTCAGTAAATGTGCACATGTATAGATGTTGATGCTTTACTGCACAGTAGATTCATGTACTATTCAGTAAAGCATCTCATGTAAACATGCCCATTGTAACCTACCTGATTCTTGAATTCTTCCCACATAGGAAAAGTTTAGATGAGCCTTCTTTTTATAGGCCTTGATCTCTCAGCTGCTTTTCTTCTGCTAATTATTTTTCTGCTCTCCCAGGAATTTTTCTCCCCACTGGTTTTTTACTATTCTATGTTGTGATGTTTTCCATGGGCGACTGGTGCCTGGCACTTGCCCCACTTCCCAGCGGACCTCAGCAACCGGGGTGGGTCCCCCCATGGCCAATCACATGGCCAACTGGGGGGGGAGGGGTTCCCCTGCAGCTATCATGCCCACTTCAAGTCAGTTCAATTGGCTGTGGGGGAACCCCCCCACAGTTGGTACAGCTAGCCACAGGGGGAGCACAGGGATCACTTCTCCTGGTGCCCCCACTCCCCAGCCAGTGCTTTTGGAGGGGACACCAGCACTCTCGCCTGCCCCCCTGCCCATTGCCTAAGCAGGGAATGCTGCCTGTCAAGGGGTGCACCAGTGTTCTCAGGGAGTTCGTGTGCACCCCCCGTGCACCCCCTACACGTCGCCACTGTTTTCTGCTCCTCAGACCTGATGAAGAATGTTTAGCATCAAAATCTGGTCTGTTTCCCAACTATGCAGTTGGTCCAATAAAAGATGTCACCCTAAGAAATCTTTGTCTCTTGCATAATCCTGGGTCATCACAGCTACATCATTCTTAACACCATCATCTGGAGGAAGTGTTGATTATTAAAAGTGAAATTGTTGTGTGTGAGGATGAAGTATATAAGGTCAGTAATATCTTTGGGTCTGTATTCTGGGTTGTAATCTTGTTTCTGTAGATATGTAAGGCAGGCTTGGATGCCATCCTGGTGTGGGATGTTGGTATATAGGCTGGTAACGTCCATGGTGGCTAGGAGTGTGTTGCTGGGAAGGTGGTCTATGTTTTTAAGTTTCTGTAGCAAGTCTGTAGTGTCTTGGACAAAACTTGCTCTGTGGGTGACAAGCGGTTTTAGGATGGATTCAACAAAACCTGATATTTCCTCAGTTAGGGTCCCATGGTTGGATATGATAGGTCTGCCAGGGTTCCCTTGTTTGTGGATTTTAGGGAGCATGTAAAAAGTCCCTGGGTTAGGTAGCGGGGGGATCAAGGTCTGTAGTTTTTCTTGTAATCTTGATGGAAATGATGTGATGGTATTGTTGAGTTTTTTGGTGAAAAGGGGAGTAGGATCTTCTTGTAGTTCTTTGTAATAGGTGGTGTCAGAGAGCTGTCTGTTGGCTTCCTTTATGTAAGAACTGCACCATCAAACCCTTGCTGTACTTACGATATATCGATGACATCTTCATCATTTGGAGTGAGAACCTGGAATCTCTACTTGAGTTCCACCAGAAATTCAACAGTCACCATCCCTCCATCCGACTTTCTTTAGAATACTCCAACACCAACATCCCCTTTTTAGACACAAGGATCAGTATCCAGAAGGGTAAAATACAGACCACAGTATACAAGAAACCCACAGACCAACATACATATCTGCACAGAACCAGCAATCACCCGAAACACACCAAAAAAGCAGTGATATACAGCCAAGCCCTCAGATACCACCGCATCTGTACTGAAGAGAACACCCGGGATTGCCACCTCACCAATCTTAAAAAGGCTTTCACCCAGCAAGGACACTCCTCCAGAGAGGTAGATCGCACGTTTGAAAGAGCCACCTGGATACCACGTGAAGAACTGCTGCAGTACAGAAGAAAAACACCCACAAATCGCACACCGCTGGTTATGACCTATCACCCATCCCTTGAACCTGTACGGAAAATCCTCAAAAAATTGCAACCCATATTAGAAAAAGACCCTATTCTTAAAAAGATCTTCCCAGAGCCACCCATCCTAGCCTTCAGACAAGCACCGAACCTCGCCAACCTCATCACCAGAAGCAAACTTCCTCAACCCCAGAACACACCAAAAGGATCCAGACCGTGCCATGACAAGAAATGCAAAACCTGCCCCCACATCTCCACCACCCCCACTATTACTACACCCCACAACAGAGCCATCAGCATCCCAGGATCTTACAGCTGCACCTCCAGGAATGTAGTATACCTCATCCAGTGCACCAAATGCCCTGATGGAAGATATGTAGGAGAGACCAGACAACAACTGCGCACCAGAATGAACGCACACCGGAAATCCATCAAAGACAGAAACACCCAATTACCGGTGGGGGCACATTTCTCACAGGAGGGCCACTCTCTCTCCAATCTCTCAGTCCTGATCCTCAAGGGGAACTTACACAACACATCCCAGAGACGAGCCTATGAGCTCCATTTCATCAACCTG